TGATGATTTAATTTATTTGTATTTAGATGCAACGTCGCAGGTGGATTGTCCCAACGGGATCCTGTGACACTGACACGTTACAAATCTTCTCACAACTCGCGTTTCCGCGCTGAAAAATAACAGATGCTTTTGGCTGTCAATTGAGGGTCTCGATTGTGTGTCAAAAACTTCTGTAAATACTAAATCCAAAGTAGGTTTTAAAAACCGATCGTTGAAACGCGAAAATATACCAGTATAGTAAAATAGACACCGTGTAAACGTGTAATTTTACTAACTGTGTTCGGATGCTAATCGATGTTCCCGATTGTGAGTCACAAACATCTATAAATAATAAATTTAAAGTAGATTTAAAAAACAGGCCGTTCAAACGTGAAAAATATTTCACTACGATAAAATACGTCTTTTAAGCGTCCAAGTCAAGCAGATGTGAAAACGATTAAAATTCTACGGATAATACATTGCTACAATTTCAGTTAGCATGAAAAAGTAAGCGTTTTCACGTCGTATTCTTTTTGCCGTTAGTGACACACAATCGGGAACATCGATTGCCATCCGAACACGTCCGAGAAAGTATGTGCGTTTGCACGCGTTATTAAAATTTTTTGTCTGCTTGGGTTGGTGCACACCACTTGAATTGTTCAGCTGAAGCCATTTAATAAGTGATCTTAATAGTGGATGATTAAGAATAGTTCATTTAGGATGTTCTTCTATGAATCACACCTTTTAATGGTTCAATATCTCTACTTAAAGAATTTAGTCTTGACAGATCAATTATATCGCTTAATATTCATCTAAACCCTTTTCCAAAGAAACTACTAGTTTTGTTCAGTTTAGTTGTATTTAAAAGATAATAAATAACAACAAGCTTTGGGTTGCGATATCCATGCACCATTTAGTTCTTTAAATAATCGTATCACTAGTGAATATTATATAGTACTAACCAAACTCTCTAAGTAGTGATAATGCAGCTGTGCGAACTATTGCGCTTTTCTGATCTAAATAGCTAATATATATATATTATGCCTAAGGAATTAATCTGTAAGTGACTGTTAGAAAATTTCTGCAGAATGTTCATTTAGAAAAATCAGCAATGTTAATTTAATGCTTGTCCCTGATATTGCCAAGAAGAAAGTCTACACAAAATTAGCGCAACGCTCGCTCATTTATTTAGCTCTGAATAGCTATATGAGGTCAGAAGTTACTGTTTTTACAATGCAAAAAAAGAATAAGTCCACTAAAAAATATTTTATTGCACCCTTATAATGATTTTGAAAATGCTCATCGCTGGAAACGTTATTGATAGCATTATTTGACTGAAGAACTTTAAAAGGAAGGAATCAAAATAAGCAAATTCGTAAGAATTAGGCTTTCCATCTAGATATGTTGTATTTCCTCTACGGAATATGATTTAGACATCCTAAATGAATATCTCCTATCAAGAAATTCATCAGTTACATAATTTTGATAATTGTCATTATTTTCTTTTGATGCAGATTCTTGTTTTTGTTTTAATGTTTTCTTCAATAGCTTTATAAGATATGAAGAACTACTTTGAATGCCTGGCTTGATAACCAATTGTCCAGTTTTAGATTTAAAATATGATTCAAGTTTAATGGCATCGGTTTCTTCTGAATCAAAATTGAGAAAAGCAAATAAATCGGGAGTATTTAACAATTTTCCAGCAGAATTTATTAATTGTATTTTCAAAATTTTAACCAATGAATCACCTACTACTGATTTAACGGCATCATAAAACTCGCGATCGACGCGTTCAAAAATATCTTTAGGTAAAACGGAAATATCAAGAAGAGCATCATTATTCGACGAATTCATTTTCTTTGAGCAATATTTAGTAGTTAACAAAAACGGCTACGAAATAGAGCATTTAGTTACTTAAATATTGATTTTGATCGAAATTCTGTTATACAAGCCACGGTCAAGTGCAAGTGTGGCAAAGTTATTTCATTATGTAAAAATGATCAAAAATACAAGTATCAAATTGTTATAAACACTTGCAAACTATTGGATGTAGTCATATGCAAGAAATTAAAAAAGCTGAAAAACAAATGATATTACAACAGCAACTGCAATCAACAATTTCAGTATCGCAAGTCCCATCATCTCAATCATGTGTATCGTCTATGCAGATATCTACTGATCAAACAATAAATACGCAAACAACACCTAATATCAATTCAGCTCCAGCATCACAATCACAGAATAATGCTAAACGTCGTATAACATCAGAGTCACAACGATCTGTTTCAACAAAAAAAAGTCGCAATTGAACATTTATGTATTTTTATATTCCAGACGCACGTTTCTTATCGATTATGTTCTTGCTTTGTATCTAGTTTTTTTAAATAAATTATTTTAAAACGTATTGTTGCACTATTCATTGAGACTTTCTCTTAATTCAAGGAGTCTTCCAATTTTATGTTATTATTTATTGATAGCATAAGGAATTAAAACACTAGCATTTAGAAATTACGATTAAACTTATTACAAAAAAGCTTTAAGTGACTCAAAGTTGCGTCAAGTAGTACAAAGTAGTCTCAAGTATCTCAAATTACACTAAAGTTGCTTAAAGTACTCTTCAAGTAGCTAAAAGTACCACTAAAGTAGTTCAAAGTACTACTAAAGTAGTTCAAAGTACACTTGAAGTATCTCAAAGTACCAATAAAGTAGTTTAAAGTAACTTCAAGTCGAAAAGTCTGCTATTTCCCCCTTGGTTTTCTACAGCATACCGGAAATTTCGACTGAAAAAAGATTGAAAAAAATTTTTTTTCCAAAAAGTGGCTGGGTCTTCATATGTTCACCCAAGTATCATTCGTTGTTTTGCGGAATATTTTTTCGTAATCGCAAAAATACATTTTTAGTGGAATCTAATAAGTTGACAACTATTGATGAAACTAAATGTTCATCGCCATGTCAATCGCCTGAAAATTCATTTCTACAACCGAAATCTAACTAAACCAACAATTACAAAAATATACTCGAATAAAGGAAACTTTATGTTAATTACTCATGGTTATAATTTCCAATTTTAAAATTTTAATCGAAAGAATACACTAAAATTTTGGCATATATACAAACCGAAATTGTAACGTAATTTTGCATACAAATTCTCACGATACATTTATAAGATTTTCTGGAACAGTTACTGTTGATAACCTAATTTTTCAAATTAATAGTGGAATGAAACCTTGTGCAACGCACCCCAAGTCCAAAATTGCAGAACAACGTATGAAAGAATCATATGAACGATTTGACAACAAAAAAATTGATCCACGAGAATCATTAACATAACTTTATCTTTTGTCGCAAACGGAAAAGAGATTAGAATTTTATTTTTTTATGTATTATATGGCATCATTGATTTTATGAATAAGAGTAGTTCATGTTTCACAAAAACCACATCTTGAAAATGAAAGACATTTTTTAGGAGGACAATATTTCTAAGGACCATTTCTCAGGGACATTTTTTCAAGGACGAAATAGCGGGAACATTTTTAAAAGGACACTTATTTACAGACATTTTAGACTGTTACCATTCGTTTCATCTTTTTTCTTTGTGTTGCATTGTTATACTTTGCATTGTGACAAGTATCAATTAACAAATCACCCGCTGTCACGTCGTAAAAAAATAGTTCTATATGCACATTAACGAGAAAAATGCAAAATCGTATAATTAAATAACTATAAAAGGCAGTGAAATAAAAGCAATCTGCACATAAAAAAGCAGTCTGCACATAAAAAAGCAATAACGATGCATTTTCCATCTTCNTTTTTTCTTTGTGTTGCATTGTTATACTTTGCATTGTGACAAGTATCAATTAACAAATCACCCGCTGTCACGTCGTAAAAAAATAGTTCTATATGCACATTAACGAGAAAAATGCAAAATCGTATAATTAAATAACTATAAAAGGCAGTGAAATAAAAGCAATCTGCACATAAAAAAGCAATAACGATGCATTTTCCATCTTCAATTTTCGTTATTCTTCTACTAATTTCATGCAATTTGATGTTGGATGTAGTTTCTGGCTCCTGTGATACAGATTCTCAATGTTCAGCTACACATGCCTTGTGTTCGGTATGTATTAAAGGAAGAGGTCCAGCATGTGTAATGCCGTTATGTCTCGACCATAAGTGTGGTCAAATCAATGCGTGCTCTTGGGCTCTCACCGAAACATGCCATACGGATGCTGATTGCAAACTACACCACCCTTGTAAAAAATGCGGACCTGGCACAGGACCAGACTGTCCTAGAGCATTATGTGTGAACAACCAATGTGCTAAAATTCACCCATGCTCTATCGAACTACATTAATGAATTTATCCATTTCTAAATATATTTTATTTCATTCAGAATTTATTTGTATTTTTATTTTGTGGGTCGTTTAATAAAATTGGATTTTCATGGGTACTAGTTTAAGGCAAAGAAAAGACGATAATGTAATCACATGCACTGCTCACCACCGTCAGTTTCCTAAATGATGCATATTTATTCAAGCTGCAGACGCAATTGTTGCCGTTGTGTTGCATACAAGAAAGAATAACGAATGAATGTTCTTTGCATAATTGAAATCTTCGAAATTCGTCATATAATTGATTGAATAAGTTTAAAAAACCACTTGTCTTTGTTAATTATATTCTCGAAAAGTAATTATTCAATTACTGTCTCCGTATCGTATCTTACGAGCAGTAGTCACTCTGAGACATTTACAAAATCTGATATGCAAACAGAACTAAGTTGCAAAGTTAAGATACAGCAAGCTATCGAGCTGTTTGCTGGAGAGAGCTGTTCGATTAAACTATTAAATAGGGGTGGGCCATTAAGATTAATATTAAATTAATGTCAATGTTCTTGAATGATATTAACGATTAACGGAAATATTCACCATTATTATGAATAGTAATGTTTTCGTTAATACTAGGGATTATACTTTCATTAATCATTAATATTAATGTTAATGTTTTCATTAAAACTAATGACTTAATATTAATGGTTAATGTTTTCATGAAAGCATCCACTTTCCAAATTAAGTAATTAACACTTTCAGAGAAAACATTAGCAATTAAGACCAGTTAATTGATTAATAATTGTGGATAATGTTTGCTTAGAGAAACCTAATTCAGTAATATGGAAAAATTAATGTTTTCATGAAAAAATTGACATTAATATTAATGAATTTAGTTTTCCTTAGAAAACATTAACCATTAAGATTAATGGCTAGTAGAAGCCATTAATTAATGTCATTAATTAAATTCCGTTAAAAAAACGGTCCACCTCTACTAGGCATAGAGATCAGAAAATGTATACAGAAGCAAGAAGCTATCAATGACTATTTAATGTATTAAAAAGAAAAGAAAATTAACGAAAGATAAAATCTCCACCACACCCACACCCTTTCCTCCTGCATTTCGATGCCTTTTTCTGTGTTTCCTATAAAAATGAAAAAAAAGTAGAAAATTGGTAAGAAACGCTCGTGTTTTAGTATAATTTTCGTGTGTTTTAAACAAATCTATTCGATAATTATTAATTCTTTGTATTTTTCGGATTTTTTACAGGGACTCTATTTTAAATACAATTCCTTTTCACGCTATCAAATGAACAAAATGGAAATAACTGACTATCTTCAGTAAAGATATTCAAACAAAGTAAAATAGTCATTATAAATACTTGTGTGTTTTTTAAAAGCTTTTATTGCTGCCTATCACGTGCAGTTACGTAAATGTTATTGTTCGAATGTAACGCTGTGACGTTTTTGACACACTTTGTTTTTCATTATCTCGGAAATTATGTGAGCTAGGAAGTTCGTTCAAACGTCATTTGATGCAACTTGTCTTGATATGTTTATGGAATAAAAATCGCGTGAAAATCGAAGATTTATGGCGATTTATCATGCCGATTAAATGTGAGATTAATTGTGATAAAATCGCCAAAATGATGATTTTTTTAACGATTTTCGAAAATTAATCGCGATTTTTCCTTCACCAATAAACGAGTTTCACACCCGCTCCCATGCTAATACTTTCCTATGTGCTATTTTGTCTTACTCACTACGACTTTTAGGTTGCACAAAACATCTTTCCTCACTTAATGGTGATTGTTTATTTTCAACTGAAATAAGAATAAGCTAACAAGATTAAAATAGAAAGACAAAAACCGAAAATATTTTCATGACATATAAAAAGTATAAGAATGAACACGAATATGCATAAAATTTAACTTAAATAACTTGTTTGTTCATTAGCTTCACCTTGTTGTTTATTATTGTTGTAATTGGTATCTTGTGGTGTAGAAGTGGTTGCAACGGATTCATCTAGGGAAAGAACAAAATAATGGTCAATCAATGATCTTTGAAATGGATATTTTTTAATCTTAGTTTACTGAGTGTTGCTTTTGACTTCAACGTTTTCCCTTGATTCCATCGCTTGCTGAGAATAGAATCATGAACAGGTGACGAAATAATCGACATTTCGACTTCTGAAAAGCTAAATTTTTGTTTAATGGCGCCTGCAAAAAAAAACATAATATGAAAATAGATACATTTAAAAGAATGTTGTAATTCATTACGTACCATATATTGCTTTAATTCTTGGGTCTTCATCAATTTTCTTAACATCGACATTCTGTAAATCTTGCTTATCAATAAATAGTGCCTTAATTAATTTTAAAGCATATTTATCTGCATTTTGTTTTTTACCTTGTATTTTTAATAATGAAACAATAACACCGTCCCTTCTAGTATATGCCTAAAAAGGAACAATAGCAGGAAAAAAGACTATAGAGTTATGGTTAATCTTAGCAATGTCGAATGTAATTATGTCGATATACGTGACGCTGTTATTTCATTTTACATTTTTATTTTCGGTATTATTCAGGATAATCGAGAGTTAGCTCTCATACTATGTGCTAATAGAGGGTTTTAAAATGATAGTTACTTACTGATACAAGATCAGTTGAATCATCAACATTGGGAGCAATATCTTCATTGTCTGCTTGAAGAATAGCTGGAATCTAGAGCAAAAAAATGAGTTCTGGGTTGAGGAAAAAGAGTTGTTTGTCTTACCTTATGTCGTGTTAAACTTTTAGCTATTTTTTTGATTTGCACACAAAATATTTAAAAATTTCTCTTGGCGCTCTAAAGTGATTGTTGTCTGCTGTTGTTGTTTCTGCAATTTTAGCATATTTGCATTAACTTGTTTAATATAATTTAATAGCTGCTGTAAATCAAGTTGTTGACCTTCAGCTTTGCCTTCGTCACCATCGGTTGTAAAACGTAAACGTTTAGCAACAGGAATTTTTTGTTTTTGGCTTTGATACACGTTTTTTTGAAGTTGTAGTTGATAGCAACGGTATAAAATGCAATAATTCATTGTGTGGCAAATCATCGTCTTTATCATCTAGTGAAAATCTAAAACTGTCATCTTCTTTATCGTCATCCGAATCAAATGAGTCGTGATCAGTTTCTTTTTCACCTACAAACACATTGTAAAAGAACTTGACTAAAGAAATACAGGTTTATTACCTTCAGCAAGTGCATCTAGTTTCATTCTATCACCAAGTGAGCCAGCTGTGGGTGATAATAATAATGGTAATGTTTCAATTGGTTTATTAGTGGAAATGATGTTTGACCAGTTCACAGAAAAAAATTAATAATACTTATAAGATTTTGAGCAAACTACCAGCCAAAGGCAACCTTTTTTAATGAAAATGCTTTGAGTGCACTAGCTAAAGCCAAAAATAAATAGCAATTGTAGACTATATCAGTAGTATCATATATTTACTTTGCTGTTGTTTAACTGATGATTTTGAACTTCTTGTTAATGTAGTTGATGACGAATTTGTTCGATTTTCATTTACCAATTTTAGTTGCAAATCTTCACAATCTGAAGCAACTTCTTCGTGCATTTGAGATTGGATTACTTTTCTAATAATTGACCATATCTTTCCATGGATTCTTGGGTAACTAAAATAAAGATAAAAATAGTTCATATATGATAAACACAAGTATACCTGTTTGTTCTACATGAATATTGTACGATTTTCCAAGCTCTTTAATTATTCCATAACCTCAATCATCGATGTTTAACAATCGTTTTGAATCAACAATACTATATTTTGATGGTTCATCAAGATAAACAATGCATGAATAATTTTTTTTTCTTTTGATAAACGTTGTGATAGATGAAACCGTTGATAAGTGTTCATATTTAAAGATATCTAGAACCAAGAAAAATGTACAAATAACTATAATAATAGTATGCAGGGATATAAGAAGAAAGCGATGTATACTTGCCTCCCACAAAGGACTACAAAGAAAACGATTTAATTTTAATGAAAAAGAAATACTCAAGTAAGAGCTTGAAAATTCCGAACAAGAATATTTATTTCATGCAGCGAAGGCTAAAAAAAGAATGAAAAAAAAGAAGCAAGTAGTGATGATATTTAATTGTGTTCACACCTTACACGTCTTCCACTTATACATTGGTATTGTTGGAATGATACCATTACACATTTACTGACTATGTCACTAGTAGGAATAATAACATACGTATCGCTTAAAAATCAAATAGGGTAAAATAAATCGACTGTATCTTTTAGCTCATTGGAAATTTCAAGAAAGTCGGAAATATTAACAGCAGCTGGAATATATTGTTGTATTAATGAATAACGTACATTGTTAAATAAATAAAAAAAACAATAATATTACCATACAGAATTTGTTGATGATTATCATTATATGATATTAAATAACTGTTACAGGTAAATCGCTTACTGTATGCTCAGGTGAAAGAAAACAGCCCGTAAACGGCCTGAAACGGCATAAAAACGATGTAAAACGTTAAAAAACAGCGCCGTTTTCCGTCAACTCGGAAAACGAAGAGAATGATGTTAAAAGCGATGGCCGTTTTCTAGCAAAAAAATGGCCCGTAAAACGAGCTGACGGATTACGGCGAAATAGGGTGAAAATTAATGCCGTTTTATGTTATTTTATAGCTGTTTCAGACCGTTTCCGATGACCTTTCAGACGGCAGGATGATCCTCCTGGGATAAAAATGAATGATATGTCAGAAATTTATCTTTAAAATGTACATATAATTTTATTATTTTATATCTTGTTTTAAATCATCTAATTGTTTTGCTAATATACCATGATAAGCATCCTATGGGATAAAAAATTAAGGTATATTCACTGTGAAACGCGTTAATGCTGACCGATTTAACGCGTTCCGCAGTGTTTCCTATGGTAAGATAGGCGTAAAACCAATCTTCCGATTTTCTTAAAACGCGTTTTGGAGTCACTATATCTGGATGAAAACGAAACGCATATCATCTCGCGGCATTTTTAATCGATTCAGCAGCTGCGGAACGCATTAAACCGGTCAGTATTAACGCGTTTTGAAGCACTGAAAAGAAACGAAAATTTTCCCATCACTGGCCTTCGTTTTATGTTTTTTTCTTTGTGTTGCATTGTTATACTTTGCATTGTGACAAGTATCAATTAACAAATCACCCGCTGTCACGTCGTAAAAAAATAGTTCTATATGCACATTAACGAGAAAAATGCAAAATCGTATAATTAAATAACTATAAAAGGCAGTGAAATAAAAGCAATCTGCACATAAAAAAGCAATAACGATGCATTTTCCATCTTCAATTTTCGTTATTCTTCTACTAATTTCATGCAATTTGATGTTGGATGTAGTTTCTGGCTCCTGTGATACAGATTCTCAATGTTCAGCTACACATGCCTTGTGTTCGGTATGTATTAAAGGAAGAGGTCCAGCATGTGTAATGCCGTTATGTCTCGACCATAAGTGTGGTCAAATCAATGCGTGCTCTTGGGCTCTCACCGAAACATGCCATACGGATGCTGATTGCAAACTACACCACCCTTGTAAAAAATGCGGACCTGGCACAGGACCAGACTGTCCTAGAGCATTATGTGTGAACAACCAATGTGCTAAAATTCACCCATGCTCTATCGAACTACATTAATGAATTTATCCATTTCTAAATATATTTTATTTCATTCAGAATTTATTTGTATTTTTATTTTGTGGGTCGTTTAATAAAATTGGATTTTCATGGGTACTAGTTTAAGGCAAAGAAAAGACGATAATGTAATCACATGCACTGCTCACCACCGTCAGTTTCCTAAATGATGCATATTTATTCAAGCTGCAGACGCAATTGTTGCCGTTGTGTTGCATACAAGAAAGAATAACGAATGAATGTTCTTTGCATAATTGAAATCTTCGAAATTCGTCATATAATTGATTGAATAAGTTTAAAAAACCACTTGTCTTTGTTAATTATATTCTCGAAAAGTAATTATTCAATTACTGTCTCCGTATCGTATCTTACGAGCAGTAGTCACTCTGAGACATTTACAAAATCTGATATGCAAACAGAACTAAGTTGCAAAGTTAAGATACAGCAACCCATGTAAAAAATAGGGCTAAAATCAGGTTAAAATCGATTACCATTTTGATTAAAAATCGATTATAATCATACACATTTTAATCGATTATAATTAACTACAATCGATTATAATCGGAAAAAACACTTATTCTGTTGTACTAATCGATTACTATCAATTACGACTAATTCTAGTCAATTTCTAATGAATTGGCAATCGATTGAAAGGCGTATGATTATAATCGATTTTAATTAACTACAATCGATTATAGTAGATGCAACAATTGTTTCCCAATACTACCGCTTACAACAAATTTCAGTTGATTTTTATTTGTTTTTAATAAATCACCAATCAACTAACAGCTGATTTAAAGTAGCTGTGATGGTTTGAGATCGACATCAGGCACATAAAAGCATCTCATCAATTACTTCCAGTAACCCTGATTTACAATTAGCAAGATTAGACTGATTTTTGCTTTCCTGAAAGTACTTTCTCAAGAATTCATCAGTATTCTCTAAATTACATTATTCAGAAATTTTACTTTCGCAACAAAGTATGCTTCTACTTCCTTATTTTCTGGTAAACGAACTTGTGTACTCGTCTCCGAGAAAAAGGAAGAGTCAACGAAATCAATTGCTATCAAAACGAAAAACAAGTCTGAACATATTCCATTCGAATCAATGGAACAAAAACAAAAAATATGTCTCGACATGTTCCATTTAAATCGATTGATAAAAACAAAATTTATCCTTAAGATTCGTTTTGAAGCGAAAGGAAGAAATAGCGAAAAAAACAACTCAGCTTTAAATTAAAAGGGATCTCGTATTATAACCCAGGAATGTGAGGTTTTGTGCAATCAATTATTTTTATGGTAAGCACTGTAAAGTGTTACAGTGTTTTTTCTTTGAAAGGGGTTTGATGTTTCTGGGTATCGTGTATTACATCAGATTTCCGATGCGATTTTAGAGATAATTGAATCGTTGTTTTGAATTCAAACCAGGTCATATACGTTAAAATCGCGTTTTTCATGTGCATAAAGAAATCTAGCTCAGTATCTAAGGTTTCGTCTTGTTGTTACATGTATCGAGTCTAAATAGGTTGTTCCATCATCTTTTGAATAACAAAGGTGATAGTTACTGATGTACGATTGTCAGTGTATGCCGTTTATTACCAAGTACTGAAGTAATAATCTATCTTTCTAAATTTTCCAGATATCATCTGTTTAAGCTTTTAACAGTAATGTATTTTACATTGTTGAAATGAACAATCTTTAAATTACTATGATGACTTTAACTTTAACTTTTATTACCCAATATAATCAAAAAAATCATTAAGAATGAATTCTTTCAAAACGTTTTCTTATTAATTACGAAAAATCAATAGAGAAGGGACTTCTGATCGTGAAAGTTCTCAAAACATGTTTTTTCAGTCTAGAATCAGTTTATTTCGATTTTCGTAAATTAGTCTGTTGAAAAAACTGAATGGTTCCTAATTGGGGTTTTAGTGTATTTATTTTAACCTGGATAAAACTGAATTCGTTATAATGCGTTCAAAAGTAAAATTGATTCTAATATATTGTTAGTAGTAGGAGTAGGAGTTTATTTTAAAGGAACCTAATCTCAATGATTATATCTATTCGAGAACCGAAACAATTTTCGTTGATTTTAATCGAGAAAAAAATAATAAAATACTGATTAAAATCGATTATCACTCAGAATTGATTGTAATTGGTGAAAAATCTTTGATTTCTAATAAACTTTGAAAAAAAAATCGATCAAAATCTTCAATTTAATCAGAAAAAAAAACATAATTGCTCGATTTTCATCAATTATTTGTGGTGCTAATCGATTATAATCAAGAATATGTTGATTTTTCGCGTAAATTTCTTTACATGGGAATCTATCAGGCTGTTTGCTGGAGAGAGTTGTTCGATTTAAACTATTAAATCCAATCACTTCTTCTGTCTCTATATGAATTTTAATTCAAGTATTAACAACACTAGCCATAGAGATCAGAAAATGTATACAGAAACAAGAAGCAATCAATGACTATTTAATGTATCAAAAAGAAAAGCAAATTAACGAAAGTTAAAATCTCCACCACTTTCACTTGTTTTTCTTAAGAACATTCTGAATATCAACCTCTGATTGTTCAGCTCATACATCTCTGAATAGTAAACTCGTAACGGACTCGAGCTTATTGGCACGATATACGATGGCGAGAAGAGAGCTCAGGCCTTATTGATGAATATTTTTGCATAGTTCTTTCGACCAGATTTCTTTAGAAAAAAAAACATCAGCATATATTGTTGAAAACATGATAAATATATTTGAAAAAATTTGTTTTTCTTTCATCTTCTAACAGCACATTATTATATGGCAAAATATTCTAGGAAGTTTCTCTTTTAAACAAAATACTCTTTGGCATATTCTTCGAGTGCCAATTTAGCAATCTCCGATGGTTGTAAGTGGGATTCGCTTTTTATTCTTTGATATAACAGTATTCAGAGTTACTCTTAGGAAATGCTATTACTTTTTAATAGCTCACCAACAAAAGAGTAAAACACGCAGGGTTTTGTCATTATTGATTAAAATAGGAGAAAGAAAAGAAAAGCACTGGTCAGCATGAATTTAACATCGTATTGTATAAAACGTCATCAGATTGGTTTCATCATGCAATGTGACATTAATCATTGATTCAACTAATAGTTGCGAATGTGCTATCAAATATTGTTAATATTGTTTGATAGAAACCTGATAAGAATCTTGTCATCTATTTCTGACCCTAGACATTGTTTCAGACACGAGTTGTTATTCTTTTGCTCAAAATATTTTCACTATAGATGTTCCTACACTATTAATGCCGAGCTTTCCAATTGCAACTCAATGATTGCTTCCGAATATTGAGTGTAGGCGAAGAAAAGATCCATACTCATATCTATGTCATGAATGAAGTTTTCATAATAAATATTGCTAGAAGCTAATAGCTAACAAACTGTTTCTATCTGAAGAGAGAACTTCACTTATGCCAATAGACAACTTTAAGATATAGATCTTTTTTCTCATCACAATTTCTGACAGAAAGATATGGGAAAAAAATCGTCATGTGTATTTACTTGTCTATTCGATATGATTCATATCTAATACAATTAGTCCGCGGATACAGGAATCAGAATTTTTCTTTCCATGCCATTTCTATGAAATAACACTGTCGTGCGCGTTTCTTCCTGTCGTTTTTATTATATTATTAAAAAAGAAAATCGACACGACAAGTTCTGTCCCTTCTCAGCTAGAAGAAAATGAGTCAACTCAGAGGACTTTCCAAAAAAAGATTGACAACAACTATTTGCAAGGCGTGACAATATTTTTCGAGAAGATATAACAGTTGTGAAAACTATTGGCCTATGACAACAAATACAGTCATAGAGAAGCTATCAAATGGTCATCAGTGTATCAGAGAGCAGATCAAATCTAAATTACTTTTTTTAAAATGAATACAAGATGGTAATCTGTCATTATTAGGCACCAAACTATAGAAGTGTTCTCGTGCAGCAAAAGATGAATAACTATTCATCGAAAAGTAACAATATATTAATGCACATCATGTTTTACCATATTCGCCGTTAAGGACATGGCAGGAAAGAAAAGAAAAGAAGAGAAAAACATCTCTTCTTGCAATTTCTTTTTTTTCTTTGCCAAAAATGAATCAGAAAAAGAAAAAACAGGCAAGACTGTGAAATTGTCTACAAATTCTGCGCATTTATACTAGCAGTTCTGGTATATTTTAATCTTATAAAATAACAATATTTTTTCTACAACTAAAATTGAATTTACATATGATTAAAAACTAACTTTAGTCGACTCAAAAATTAATTGGCAGGAAAATGTCAGAAAGCATATCACAAGCACGTAAGTAGTACAAATGTCTGTTTCTCTTTACTATTTTTAGCTTCCCTGCCTCCATTTGTGCGCAAAATAAATCTTCGACTTTTTCCTTTCTTCCATCGAAGAATACGCTATCGATTTTAAATAAATTCAATTTTCTAGGCAATTTACTTAGCTAAAGTTGATAGGATTTGAAATTATTATTAGTTAGCAAATTTCGGAAGTATCTCGATTTTTTTAGAAGGAATCCGGACCCTAAAAAAAGAATGTGAATGATAGCGTCTGTTATACTTCTATTTGTTCGTATAGAGGAGCTAGCGGAATAGAGTGCAGCTAGTCCGTACTATAAATTCTGTCGTATAATAAAAAGAATAAAGAAATGAATTATTTATTGTTGCCCGTGAGGCATAGTAAGTCATTTTTTTTGCAGCTCTTTCCAATCTGTCTTATGGTTCCAGTGTTTTCAAACGAGATTCTGTTCTTCGTAGGTCGTCCTTGGATTCTTCTTTAACTGTTTCCTGCGTGACTCATTTCTTCTAACCAAAAAATAGTCATTTTATATAATTACAGAATCATGCGAGCTTCACGGTGTAGCATTTAATGCATTGCATCAAATGACACTCTCCTTTCAATATATGCTTGTTAGATGATTTTGTTTTTCTTGTCATATTTTCTAAAAAATTCTTTCTTGATTTATGATTAGTTTTTTCTCTTCTAATTATGTATACACGTTTCCTGCAAACATATCGTTAGAGTGGTCATTAAAAGCAGTATAGAAATGAAAGGGTAATCATTACCACGATAATAGCTAATAGTAGACAATTAAATTTTCTGCACAAACCTTGAAAACAAAAAAATTGAATTTTATATTCTAAAAATTCTTGTGACTAGGATAGAAATTTTTGAATTTGAATATCGATATTCTGTGAATGTATCATTTTCAAGATTGAATGAGTCTTGTTGTAATATCTTTCTCTATTCTATAACAAAGACAACAATATCTATTACGTTTGAAATGCAAGAAACATACCATCAAAATATGTAACGCGCATTAATATGAATCTGACGCCTTGCCTTATCATTGAGAAGGAGAGAACCCATGAGAGTTTTAAAGTTTCAGCGTAGTGAATGTACTTGCATTTGTAAGGACCATTTTCTCTCTGCTATTTCAAGAATTTATGCCTTCCGGTGGTATTGACTGCTTTAGCAACTGCATTGTACTTATTGAAAAATCAGTATGACGCATATAAAAATGAATCGAAATCTGAAAATATTCAACTGTTTCACTGTCACAATATTTTGTTCTAATAAATCTATTTTTAAATGAAATTTAAACAGCAAAAAAACTTGAACGAGCATGATACTCAACGTAGTTAGCATCGATCAAGGTACAGCTTTTCACCGATTATGGTGCTTATGTTCTAAAGTCATCATTTTTGTTATTCAAAATTCTATAATTAACGATCATGTCATGATGTGATCTTTGATATATCACTTCACTGAAAAATCATTGCCGAACTTGTGAGAACTCATGAAGTAGATATCATTCAGTATTGCAACCTAACTAACTTTCTGTTTGATATTCATTTTACTAGATTGTGTTGTTTTCTTCCTCACCAATAATTAGACTCATCAAACAGAAAATTGAATTACGGCAGATAATTGTTAGCACCCCGATCATATATTATCACTGCTGTCATAGAAGTATAAGAAGAACTGTGAGTGATTAGAAAAGTTAGATAGAGTAGCTAATCCTATTAACGAGTAAGATGGTATGAAAATAAAGAGATCATCAAGTTCTTTTTTCTTCCAATCAAATGTTTTTCATCATTTATCATATTGCTAACGGATATTTTATAACAAAATCATTTTTATTTCTCGAGCTCATTTTTTGCTACTGAAATCATAAATTTATTTTCAACTTTTAGGAACTGATTCGAATCAACTGAATTTGGATGATATGGAAAACCTCCCCGATGCAACGGCAAAACAATATGGTGCCATTGAACAAGAAGAAGTTGAAGATGACCCTTTCCCTGATTTAAATCCGCAAAACAACACGAGAAAACCACAGCAATCGCTCAATGGCGACATTCATGCATGGCGAAAAAGTCATTCAATTAAAAATAAACGAACTCCCGGAGTATTTAGACAATTGAGTCAAGGTAAAAACGTTATAGATGTTAAAGAGTTTTTCGAAAGGCAATCGACTTTTTGAACGTGTTCAGATAAAAAAAATAAGCAATCAAAGAGTCCAAAACTGGCAAACTTCCGAAACAGTTAGAGCGGTTTTGTTTTATTTTTATTAGTCAATATAAACTCCAATTGAAAAGAGAAATGAAAAAAAATAAGAAGAAGCTTTTGAACCAATTTGATGCGCAATAAAATTCTGTATTTAGTAGAAATTCCACAGTACACAAATGATAGGATGATAAAAGACAAATAGTCCCGCGGCGCGACTTTGTCATCTCATTGGAAGTTCTCGCTCTTACTGTACAAAGATGCGGAGTTACGTATATAAGCAGACGATATTTTTGTTTTCTGTTCTTGTTAAGACAATATGAGATTTACGCTTTGTTTGCCGAATTTAGCATGTCGCGATCGACTCGTCCGAACGCCAACAGTTATTGTAAGTGGGAACTTCTATTTTGTTTAGTTCGTATCTAAAAAAAATTTTTTCTCAGATGATGGTCGGCTTACCTGCACGTGGCAAAGTAAATATGATTCTTGTATTTTATAGAAATCAAAAAATCCATGCATATTTTAGACTTTTATAGCTCGAAAATTAGCTCGGTATTTACATTGGATTGGAATACAAACGAAGGGTATGTTGAAAACTTATTCTCAATGGTGAATAAAAAAGATAATAATCGGATAAAATTAAATAAAAATAAAAATAAAAATGACTTTTCATTAAATCTATTGATCAAAGGCTTGGTGATAGAAATCAAATATCTTCAAAAATCTTTCTTTAATTGTTTTGTTCCCTAAAATAGATTTATTTTCTGTCATGCAAATCAATCAACAAAGATGAGAAAATAATTCCCACGCCTTTCGTAATCTTTCGAAACTATTCCTATTGGTCATTTATGACGTCATCATCACGTGAATAGAACTAGATTGTTGATAGATTTTCATTGGAAAATACATAGATATATATGTTTCTCCTCGATCGATGAAACAGAGAAGATTATCTGCTGACCTCGCTATGAGTTACATCGATCATTCGATTCTATAGAAGAATACCTTGAAAGGTCACAATGAGAAACATCATTCTTATCATTAATTTTTCTTATAGACGAATCCTATTGGAGGAGAAAGCACGTATAGAGTAGAGATTGCATTTTTGTCTACTTATAGTTTTCAATGTTGGCGATTATCGTCGTGATGCTGTCAAAGGATATGCAGGCAAGGAATTTTTCGATCCGGATAATACTGAAGCAGTCGCTATTCGAAAGTATGTATTATTTTTTCTTCATATTAGATCATTTTTACAATTTTCGATTCGATTTATTTTTCAAGTTTATGTGCTCAAAATGCCTTAGAAGATATGTGCAATTACCTTCAGAATGAAGGTGAAGTTGCTATATTTGATGCGACAAATACGACTCGTGAAAGACGTCGTACAGTATACAATCATTGTGTGGAGGCATGCTATTTTCGTGTGTTTTTTGTCGAATCAATTTGTGATTCACAGGAAGTCATTCAAGCAAATATTCGAGTATGAAATTAAAATAAATTTGTTTCTTGTCGATACTGATTATTTGAATATATATTAGGAAGTAAAACTCAAAAGTCCTGATTACAAAGGTGTACTGGATACAGTGGCCGTCGAAGACTTTTTGTCACGTATTGAACTCTATGCAAAACAGTACGAACCGATCGATGGTAAAAATGACGAGAAACATTATTCATTTATCAAGATTTTTAATTGCGGTGAACGATTTCTGGTTCATAAGACGCGCGGTAAGTGTTATCTATTTATAAACTTACATTTCATATTTTTCTTGTTCATACTAGGCAATATTCAAAGTCGTGTCATTTATTTTCTAATGAATATTCATGTTCTCCCGAGAACTATCTATCTTACCAGGGTCAGCTAATAGGTCCTTTGAGTTGATGAAAAATAATTTATTCCAATATTATGTTTAGCATGGTGAATCGACAAGAAATGTTCAACAGCGTATTGGCGGTAATGCACCATTATCAGAAGCTGGAAAAGTGGTAATAATTGTCTCTCGTTTGTCTTTATTCTCGATTGTTTGTATGTATTTTATTGTATAGTATGCAGAAGCTCTCGCTGAATATATCGACAATGGTGAGTACCTTTTCTTGAACATTCAATTTTTGTATTCGTTTTCATATAGAAAATATTTCGGATCTGATTGTTTGGACAAGTCAAAGGCAACAAACAATTGAAACAGCAGCAAAAATCGATGCACCCAAAGAGCAATGGAAAGCTCTTAATGGAATCAATGCTGTAAGAAAGCTTCTTGCAAGTTGATGGTGGAAAATAAATTCTACTCTGTTCTCTTTTAAAGGGTATTTTCGAAGGTTTGACCTATCGGGAAGTAGCCGAACGTTACCCTGAAGAGTTCGCTGCTCGTGATCGATCAAAATACTATTATCGATATCCAGGTGGAGAGGTAAGACGTCATACAATTTCTTATGTCATAGATGTTTGTAAATCCTCGAACTCAATCAACAGATATACTTAATGTGGTTAGTTTTTAAATGAGTATTTCTATTTATCCTCCAAATCAATTGAAACCTTATCTCGTATTTCGCATGAAGCTGATTTTCCAATCGGAAAACTCTATTAGATACTATAGACTCCAATGAGTTGTTTTTACATCATTCTTCAGTAAATGAAAATTCGATCGTTATTTTCATTGTTTATTTTTATTTAGTCTTATCACGATCTTATCGCTCGACTCGAACCAGTCATTATGGAATTGGAACGAGCAGAAAATTTACTTGTTGTATGTCATCAAGCTGTTGCTCGTTGTATTCTTGCTTATTTTCTCGATAAAGATGCAGGTTTGTAGAAATTCTTGTATTCCATTTCAATCAAACCTATATCTATTTGAATATAGAACGCCTTCCCTATATCAAAGTTCCACTGCATACAGTAATTAAATTGACACCAATGGCCTATGGATGTATGATGGAAAGTATTCCACTTTCTGTTGAAGCCGTAAACACCTATCGTAGTAAACCAAAAGTAAGTAAAATTCTATTGGAAAAATATCATTTTCTCGTTTTTGCTCATATTTAGAATTGTGATCCCAATCGTGCAGTTGCTGAGGCATTAAATGAATTTGTCGAATTACGTATAGAGCCTATAACGGGTCCAACGACAACACAGATCATTTATCAGAATTCTGGTACAGCTATCGAAACAACTGATGCATTTGGAAATCGAATACACCGTATGGATAGTGTGACTAGCGATACTATACTCAATAATAGTTTTTCACCGGCTCACGATAACCTTACCAAACAAACATCAGATGTTAATCCAAGAAATTAATCAACTGCTTTTAGGTATTTCATATTTATGTGAAACTGCGTAGCCTGGATTTCTTGTCTTATTTGTTCAATATGTGTATATATTACATATGATGATTTGCTATAATTGCGTGGAAATAAACCTATTTTATGCTTAAAACTTTATGTGTTATATCTTTCTCATCGTATGGAGTATAGTCGATTATATGAATCATCTTCCTGACAAATGCTTTAGTGAAAACAGAATCTTCATGAACTATTTTTCGACAGAGAATCATTTTTAACTTGCTTTATGTGTTTCATTGTGTATTTCTGTGTGCGCATCCTCTTGTTAGAGAGTACTGTATTGAAGACATAATTGCATAAGCGAAATAAACTGGTATTACATATTCGAAACTGACTAAGAATATTTTACTTCACTACGTAAAAATTAATGAATTATATTCGAGTGATAAACACGCACGATTAGTTAAAGTGTAGTGCTCAACAACATCACACCTAATTAAATGTAATAGAAAGCAAAGTGAATCTTGCTTTTATCATTTATTGCACAATAATTAGAATGCTAAGACGGTCGAAATGTTTCTCATTATCTTGAATTTTATGAACTGAAAAGTAGGCCAAGATTGGCACGCATATTTCAATTCCGTTGAATGCACAATTCGGATCATTTACACCCTTACTGACGGCGCTGGGAGCAATCAAATAAGAAAAGTGGTTTTTGTAATGCTAAAAGTCAGTTCAATGATTGAGACAATGTAATTTGTGACGAAGTTAATATCCTGATACCGGTTGGAAAATTGGACATTTTTTGATAAGCGAATAAAATCATGGAATTGATAGAGCAGTTCACTTCCTTGCTGTTCTTCATAGTTCTACATAATCTCTTTTTTTCTTTTTTGTTAAATAGTTTAACCTTCATTCTAGACAGGTGCTGTTCACTAACTCCATAGCTGACTCGGGCCAACTTTTCATGATGCTGCCAGCCATAAAGAGTGTTTTGAAAGTTAGAATAACAAAATAAGCTTCAAAGTATATGTTTTGATTAGTTAAAACATTGCTTTGCTCCTGCACTCGGATACATTTTTATAGAAGCGGCTGTAATCTTCATCTCGATATTACAATAAACGTATGAGAAAATATCTCGATGCTCGAATTTTCATTTCCTAATCAAATATTTCATGATGTCTTTCATCATTTCCGCTTGAGAAAAAGCTAACAGCCTATTTTTCTTGTCTTGAGAGCTTGTTGTTGAACATTTCAGAATAATAGCAATATTTGACGATAGGGGAGATAATAGAAGCATTGAGTTTAATTTATCTTTTGTTTCTTCAGAGAAATTTACTCTAATAATTAGAATGCTATTCTGTCTGGCAGCTGTTCAGAATTTTAAATGCGTCATTCTTTATCTTTGCATAAAAAGTTGGCTTCTCATATGAACTAGTGCTCCCCGATGTCATGCTATTCACTTGGGAATTTCATCCGAGCATTTATACTGCACTAGCAACTTATCTTTATAGATGACATATTTATTTTATTTTACTATTGACTGTATCATCAAAATAAATCATGACATCATGGATTTTGATAAATCGGCTAATTGTGTTATACCTCGGCTTATTTTACTTTATTTTCGGACGATTGGCTGGTAGTTTCATACAAATGCTTACTTTATCGACTGTACCGTTTTATCGAAAGAAGCCGTGTGGCCATTCTAGTATATTATTACAACTATACATGAATGTCGTTGTAACGATAAATAAGACTCTGTTGAGTTTATATCGTATTGACAAACTGGATAGAGGTGGAGTAGCTTACAGCCACTCACGGCATTGATGTTTATTCGTTTATTCACATATCCAGAGTGTAACGACAAAACTAGAGAGTGTCGCCTATGCCCGTCGGCATGATGGTGTATTGTGTCATCTGACATCTTCAGAGCCCAGGTCAATGATTCCGGAGGACGGACACTGTAGGAATCGGCCGGAAAGATGCGGAAAAATCACCTTATCTGGCCGGAAAGCACAGGAAACAGGAAGCAGTATTCCAGTNTTTTTTATCAACTGTGCCGCAGTTACGCGTAGAGCCAATTCTGCGTCGCAGTTACGCGTAACTATGGCGCATTGATCGTAGTGAAGATTTCTACAAGAAACTACGCTTAGTATGACTCAGATCAACGTAACTGCGTCCTAGTGATCGCATCCTACGATCTGTTGTAGGTATAAATGGCCAATTACAAATTATTCCTCCTTATTTGTAATTGGCTGCACTCGAACAATAAAACTTAGTCACAGAAAATTAGTATAAATAGTAGTGTTTATCACATTTTCGTTCATTAGTTATTCTACTACAAGCAGTGAAATGCATAGTTTTTATTTCTTTTAAAAATTTCTAGATTAAAATTCCTTTTGGTTTTTCAATTTTTTGTAATTAAATTTTTTTTCTTTTATCATTAAATTATTTCAAATTTTTTTTTCTTTTATACATTCAATTTTTAAAAATTCTTCTAGATCTTAAATTTTAATTTTCCTTAAGTTCTAAACTAAAATTTTTTTTAAATTTTTTATTTTAGTAAATTTTCAGATTTTTCTAGATTTCAATTTTTCAATTATTTTTATTGTGAAAACTTTTAATTTAAAAATTGCTTTTTATTTTTTATAAAAGTTTTAATTTTATAGTTGTTTTTCATTTTTTGTGCAAAAAATTTTTTAAACTCAATAAAAATACAAAATAAAAGGAAACCCTAATCTATGTTATCTTTTGTACCAATTGCGACGCCACTGTGAACTATAATTGCGGAAAACTTGGGCGCAGTTATGCGTAACTGTGATTTTTCCCCCGTAACAACGCGTAACTGCGATTTTTTCATCGTAGTTGCGCGTAGCTACGTCGCAATTTTCCGCAATTACGGGTCACAGTGCGATCGCAGTTTCATCGTAATGAAACACATGGGCAGTTTATCACTTCCCTTAGTCCACTTGTCGTTGCTGCACATCTGAATATTGACATGACACACACTTCTGTTGTTTGGTGCAAATTTATTTATATTTTTTCGGTTCAAGTTTTGGTGCGATTTCATTGACTAGTACATGTTTGGTTACAATCGATCAGTTTCTAAGTACGTGTCAACATGTTCGCTTACATCAATGGAACAGTATTAAAAGTGCATATCGAGCTGGCCTGTTAATTTCGATTCTGTGGTGGCTTTATGGTACTCTTTGGCTATACTATTAAGATATGCCGCCCGTCACAGGTGTTTGCACTTATCGCAGTTATATCTTTTTTTACCTATGCTGCAGTTGTCATCGGTGTTATTCTTTGTGGCATGCATATTTTGATTATGATAATATTCAGAATTTTAACTTATCGAAATATTAAAAGTACTGTTTTTCTCTCACATCAAAGTATTGATCGACAATGGGCAACTGTAGCTTTCATACAAGCTTTGTTTACTTTGATTGGTCTTAGTCCGTACGGTATCTACTGTACTTATGTGATTATGGCGAGAAATGTTTCGAAGGATGATGATCGTAAACTCGAAGACACGCTGGCTGCTAACATAACTTATCTATTTGGTGCAGTCACTTATGGAATAAGATTTTTTCTTGTAAAATACTATAATAAATGTTTAATGCATTGCTAGGGATGTTTTTATCTGTTCATATTTTCGTCGTATGGTAAAAGATCGAATGTTATTTTGGCGACGATTATCTCGGTGCATTACTCCTTTGACATGAGGATTTTCGTTGTGTTTCTCACTGCGTTAGCTTCTTAATCAATGCATGATAGTTCGAAGAACATCTGCAAATCTTTTGTTTTTATTAAAATAATTGATATTTCAATATGAAGTTGAGCATCTAACGTAACGTTGAAATACATGTCTAGTTAACAATGTGAATTTAATTTTTTAATAATTAGTAAACCTAAAACAATGTTCAATATGTCGCATTTGTCTTGAATAATTCATTTCATAAGACGTGGTTGCTCTTGTTTTAAAAAAACCAACATCAGCTGTAAAATTTTTCTTCCGTTCTTCAAAACAACACACACTCCGTTGTTTATAAAAATAATATGAGACATGATGTAGCAACCTTGCAATTAATATTGCTATTCTTCCGATCTCTTGAAAGTCGGAAGATAGTTGTTCATCAATGAGTAATGCCATGATCACAAGACAATATAAAAGGCATGCATCTACTTACAATCGCAGCAAATTAGAATACAATGTCTTTCGTGCTTGAAAGAAGTCAAACTGAAATTAAACGGACAACAGTTACAGTTACTATACCTGAAAACAATGTTGCCCATCTAATGTATTATTTGAGCTGTGTATGTACAGTTATTGATTGTAATGATGACGCTCAAATTCAACGCTTCACGTCTTATCAAAATTGGAATCAGTTGACAATCGATGATCAAAAAGTTTTGGTTTTCCTCTGCTCTACATTTAGTCCTGATGTTTTCAATGACAAAGTTTTCTTTCAAAAGGATTCTCTTTGTGTCCATCACGAAAATGAATTCTACGAAATCAATCAACAAAATCATGTTTTAGTAGGATCTGAATCGGTTCTAATTGCCGGACGTTTACGTCGTGTCACCAAATTTATGACATATAAGTTGTCTTGGCTGCAAAAATACTACATTGGCCCACTGGGGCGGCTCACTGAGCGACTAAATCGTCCATTACAACATTCTACTAGGCAGCCTATTGAATATCGGCCATCTACAACTACTAATAGCGCACCGACTTATAATTCATATAGTGCTCCAGTAAAATCAAGAAAACGCACTCTTTTTGTGTGGATAACTGTATTCTGTGTTATATTTTTTATATTGCCTAGTATCATTGGAGGTATTGTCGCTGCTGCGAGAAGATAGAAAATTTTCTATAGAAGACATTTCACAATAAAACAAACGAATCATTAGTTTCCCACATATGTCAGTACACTCATAGTTTAGATATGTCCTCGTCGTTATCCAGTAAACAGAGGTGTCGTAGCGTAAGACTCTATTTTGGTCATTCGAGTACTTTGAATTAATTTACAGTAATCCAGTTGAAAATGATTCGATCATATGTGCTAGCGAAAAACATATCATTGATTGCCATGATCAACACACACACACACACACACACACACACATTGTTATATATCCACTTGGTTTTTCGCAATACTATTGCTGTCGAAAATAATAAGTATGTTTATCTTTTATTTAGCTATTTAATAGATGCGTGTCTCGTTTCTTTTCTTATTGACATGTTAAAAATAATTTACTCATGTTATCAATGTTATTTATTGACATATCATAAAAAAGAAAACATGAATAATTCTTCACATGACAGTATCAATGGCTTCTATTAGTACATTTTACCTAAATTCTATTCATTTTCCTTCGAAATAAATATTTCAAAACAATTGACTGTATCTTTCCCATTTGTTTTTCTTTCTTCTATTCAGTGATCCCTATTTGCTATGGATTTTCAGATGTTTTCGCCTAATGAATAATAGATGCAGATCAACGGCAAGATTATCATACCAGGATTTTTCGTTGTTGTTCTTCTCCTCATAGCTAGTACCGTCATTTTGGGTGTTTTATATGGTATAGAACAACGAGAGACGAAACAAATCGAAAAAGGTATTCATAGGATTGTACCGAATGGCGCTTTTTGTATTATTCTGTAATGGTCATTTAAATTTATGCAGTAACAACTCCTGATAAAGAACATGAGTAAAATATTTCTCGAGTTAAAAATCATTTATGGATGACATCTTGAATCCGCTCGAATCAATGAATATTTAGTTGTTAAAAATCTATTTTTTTTATTTTTCTTTATTTCTCGAGTAAAGGTATATGGACATCAATCATAAATCCAATAACATACTCTCAGTCATCAGTAGAAAAACTGCTAAACCAAGGTGGTTATATTATGATGAGTGCCGGACGTAATAATAAAATGCCGAGTGATCAAAATTTAAGTGATGAGACCATTCGAGAGCGAAATGTGAATTTAACGATTGATTTAACTAATACATATGCGTATTCATCTATGTTCGGTTTCTATAATGGCGATAATGAAACAAGTTTCTTCGTTATTCTACACAATATTTCACCGGATACAGAACGTAATGTATTTATTGAATTGGGTCAAAAATATAATCAAGAGTCTATCATCTATGTCAAACGTGCAACTCCTACCATACAGCAGTTTATTTATACAACAGGTGAATTTAGTGGTAAATATGTCGAAGGACAAGGATACAAAGTACTTTCGACTAATATAACAGATGATTATAGTGAATTAAATGTATGTCCAGACGACATATTTAAGTTTACTCTAAATTTTAATTTCGAAATAATGATTATGGGAAATACTCGCATAAAAACAAGACAACTGATCGATCATCATACGAACTATATAAGGGCTAATCGAAAGAGACAAACTTTTTGAGAATTTGCAAAGTCAATCTTGAAGTAATAAATAACTCGCATGCAACAATAAACGAGAGATGTCTTTCATTCGTTGTGTCTAATTACGTTGTCATAGTGATGTCATAGCATTGGTTATTGATTTCTTCAATACAAACTCTTTGAAATAGTTCGAACTGTTCTTTGATTGAAAACATTTTTCTAGTGTAATTTTCAGCACTCGTTTCATAAAGTCCAGAGGGCACCACATAGTGCTTATTTAACATCGAGCACTTAGCTTGACTTTACTTTGCCCGTTTCTCTCTCTCTCTCTCTCTCTCTCTCTCTGTCAGTGTATCACACATGAGAGGAAAAGAAGAATATTGCTATAAATTTAACAGGTACACGTGCACATGCATGAAGAAAAAAGGTAATAAAATATGATTCTCTGAGCTATATTGCATAAATAGTGATTGAAAAAATCCGAAAAAGTAGGTTTGTGAGTAGAATTTGACGTGGAATAGCTCGATTGAAACTTTCTTCTAAGAAAAATTCATCGACTTCTACAATGCAGTTCTTATTGAATTTCGAAATGTCCATCGTCTCGTGGACTTTATTCAGACGGTGAGTTTTTCTTTCTTCTTTTATTTCGTATCGACCATGGTTCACAATTTATGAGCTGCAAGTTACAAATAAAGTCCGTGACCTTCCTGTAACATTTTCACGTTTTATTTTGCGACGAATTACATATTTTTTTTCAGCGAAACAGCATTAGAGCTAAAAACTACTACATTAAAGGTTGCAGTAGCTGAAGTTTACTGGCAACGATAAGATTGATAACATTTTTGTCTTTGTCGTTTTGTTTCGAAAGTAACAATAACATGTTGAAGCTTTTTATTTATTTATAAGACTGCACGAGTTTTTATCATTAAACTAGATAGGTAAACTACAAAAAAAGGATCAAAAGAGTTAGTATTATTTTCTTCAAAATGCAGTTATCAATGTTGATTTTGCATATATTATCGGGTCTCGTATTTTGGACGGTTGCTATCGAAGCACGATCAGTTTTAAACGGACAAACACATCGATCTGATGTAAAACATTTCGAATCCAAACTCGATATGACTGCAGGTTATTGGTCGCCAAGTACTAGCTCAATCGATTGGTGTGAAAGAAATTATGTCGTAACAAAGTATATTGCTGAATTTTGGAATTGTATTTCCAGCTTGGTTATGTGTTTATTAGCCGGAATATTATTCGTTCATGGTTTATACAATCGAGTTGAAAAACGATTTCTACTCCTTTGTCTATCATTTGGAATTATCGGATTTGGTTCAGCTTATTTTCATGGTACACTCACGCATGTTGGTCAGATGGCAGATGAACTGCCCATGGTCTATTCTATGATTATCTGGTGGTTTATCCTCTTTCGAATGGACCAATTCAATAAATTAACAAATAAAATCTACGGATTTGACTTTGCTATTGTTTTTGGTATATTTTATGGAGTTCTATGGACTTATCTACACAGTTTACAATCATTCGTCATTCTATTTCAAGCACATTTTACATTAATGGTGTTAGGAGGAATTATTAAATTGACATTTTTATATCGACAAACACAACATCACACACAAAGTATCATGTATTTAATTATGATGTATGTTGGACTGCTAGGTCCAGCTATAATATGTTGGATTATAGATCAACAATTGTGTGAACGAATGAATAGTAAAGGTGGATTTAATCCACAGCTACATGCTTGGTGGCATCTATTGTGTGCTGTTGACGCTCATGTGGGAATCGTTTGTGGTGAAGGAATGCGTCTTCTCTCGATCAATTATAAACAATATCAAGCAAAATATGCCAATCTGTCACGGAAACCATTTAAACCAGAAGATCATTTACATATCGACTTTCATTTTGGATTACCTTTCGTCGATTATTCGAATGAAAAGCAAATCGAGAAAGCCAAAAAACAGTAATTTTATCGTTCAAAGATCTACGATAATGAACTTGTCTGTTAAGCGTTTGATGGATTTTTATCAGGAAAATATTTTTTTTTCGTAATTTAGCTCGTTTTATGAATCTCTAAAACTGTTTGTTTAACTTTTCGAAAATCACGAGTGAAAGTTTGCTCCTTTTTTTAAATTTCATAAATAATTGATACACAGTGATTACCTCCCAATCGTTATCATCCAAAGTCTTGATTATTCCTATTTTAGAATTCGGGTTGAGTGGCTTTAAAATATTACAAATATGCTCTAAGAATCAGCAGAACTGTAGACGGCGATGAAAATCGTCTCGATCAACTATCTGCCCAGCATACGTATACGTGTCTGATTATAGAAATATGGGTATTATGAAATGGAGGGAATGTTCGAATCATGCGTTGGTACAAAGGAGCCACGCATAGAAGTGTTATTACTGGTGGAAGCGGAGAAAGAGCATAATCGAGCCAATTCAACTGGCCCAAAGTTTTACCGTTCGATTGCCCAATGACCGAGTACAAAAATTCGACATCGAGTATAATAGTTAAAGGCTCTTTCACTTGCCAGCATAATTAAATCAACTTTGATTTTTATTTCCTTCCTACACATTATTTATACATAAAAAAAGATGAAATGATCTAATTATAGATTTGAGAGCAATATTATAATTAATTCAACTAAAAGAAGTCACCATTGTTGTTTTTTGTGATTATAATTGATAATTAATCGATTAAAGTTATATACCTTAAAACAATACTCATCTTAAAGTTCGAAAGCTATACTATTCGGTAGATGGCATCAATGTTCGATTATAAGCTATAGCATTGTTAGTATGGTGTGTGAAAAATAGAATTTTCTTTATTTTACAATGTATACTGAAACCAAAGACAATTACTAGGATTTCAATTATTGTATATAATATCAGCCAGTCTATACTCAATTTCTTTTACTTACGGTATTAACTATTTTCAGATAATATTCGTTCAATTTTCATCTTTTCATCTTTGATTTTATTCATACAGAATCCATCCCGCAAAATGAATTACATTCAAATATATGCTATAAAGAAAAAGATTATTATTCGCTTGCTCCTTGCAAACGATAATACTATTCATGCAAATTATTTCAGTGAAGCATTCCCAGGTGCTACTATCATCGCCTACGAAGATTGCAATCTCAATTAGTTGATTTCGTATGTTACTTAATTGTTACGAGACTAAACTAGATTCTGTCATAATAGAATACCAAAAGATCAAGCCGGTAACTTTCAATTTGAATGAGACTCGAATACGATCTATGATTTAATTTACGCTGATGGTATAAAAAAAGAAAATGAATAATAGATATATTGTTTTATGGAATATGTTGCTTCTATTTTAGCTTCTTTTAATCGTACAATATCACAACTGGTTAACGCTAGTTAGAAGTAAGATTATTTCCAAATAGTAGCCCGTGGCCATAAAGAATGATGCCTTTTGTATTTTAATCATAATTCATTCATTTTCTACCACTGAGATTTGATTGTTTTTTTCAAAATGATTTCTCTTTCAATTGTCTAGAAAACTTTGTAACAAGCTTTGTAATTTATTCATATTGAAAAATATAATGAGAGAAATCATGGGGCACAATAGTGGTAGAGTTTCAGTCAGATTTCTTCTAACAATGAATCAGTATTTTTATTCCTCGTACAAGAATCGTATTGACTAGACGCAGGGTTTCGCATGTTTTTCAAGTGTTCTCTTCGTTAAGAAAAAACGATAATCCTGGCCATAGAAGCTGCCAGATTTAAATGTTGTGTTTTTCACATTCACATTCCAGTTAAGTATAATTTGGTTGCCTCCATACAGGCACGATCGATTAAGTATTTTCCTTCAAATAAACCAAAAAAATGTTCTTGATTATCTATCCCTTTCATGTCTCGCACTTTAATCTCTTAGGTTTTTCAGTCTTGTAGAAACTGAAAATTGAATTAGTTTTACAAAATGCTATCAATCATCAGTGGAAACAAAATGAAGGGAATATCGTTAAAATACAAAATGTGTAATTCTCTATGATCCACCTGCTATTTAAGGAACAAATTTCCTTTTTTTTCATATCAATTTTTCCATTAAAGGTCTGATCAGATTCGTTCAGTTACTATAAAAAAAACAATATAATGAACCGGTTTTTCTAATAACAGACAAATGCTCTGTATGAATTATCTTTTTTTTTTTTAGTATTTACTTAATATTTAATATGCGAATGCTTCTTTTCACTCTCTTGTTTAGTTGTGTTTTATAAGATAATATAAAAGTTCTATAATTTCTGATAATTTACTTTTTCACGTAATGGCAATTTCCGAAGTTTCAAGGAAATTTCTGTTGGCACGCTTGCGTGTCTTTTAATAGTGTGACAGAAATTCATTATTTTCGGAAATCTGAACATACCTCGGCATCTTTAATTTCACCACACCCAATATCTTTTTTCTGTAAATACAAATAATTCATTGATCTTTATTTTTATTCTTTTAACTTGATATAAAAATAGCTTAGCGCTCAAATTTAGCACTTTCTCTGTAGTTACTTTCAGTAAACAATCATGAACGATTATGGATTAAATGGTACTTTTTACCATGTATAAAAAAATGATAAACATGTGTTCAAGCGACGTATGTCCCAATACTAATGACGCCGTTTGACAAATCATTTATCGTCATCGTCATTCGAATTGCTTGGTTGACTCAGTTCCACGCTCTTTTGATTTGGAATAGGAACAGTTTCGACAATATTACTTCGGTAATGTTCGGCATTAGCAATTTGTAACATTCTTTCAATTTGCTCAGTTATATCTTTCAGAACCTTTAGCCGATATCTTTTGTTAGTCTTTCTATTATTAACACCAAAATAACGATCGCCACAGGTATTAATTAGTTCATGCAAATCTTGATTTCTATTATTTGAATTTGGATTTAAATAATCATTCAATGTTTGGTTTTTATTTAATTGATCAATATGAGTAAATATAACTATGGCATATCTCATGTAACCAGGAAATATTTCGTCAATACGATCGATCGCTTTTTTCTCGTCCTGTGTGAAACGTGTATCACATTGCAAAACAATTAAGAATGCATGCGGAGCGTTCCCGCATAATTCTAATGAACGGTGAATCTCAAGATGATTTTCTTCGAATAGATTACCACTGCTGGTATCAAAAAAACCAGGTGTATCGACGACTACTATGCTTTTTTTACCTTTAGCATACGTAAACTTCTTACAGTTGCATTCTCTAGTTATAGACGATGCCGCATTACCAGTTTCAAAAGCTGTGTTTCCAGCCAACGTATTACCCAGTGAACTTTTACCTATAACAGAATAGAATATCTGATTGCGCAATAATGACGCGCTTTCTTGCAAATATACCATTTCCTGTTTTTCCTAATAAAATAACATGTTTTTCTTGTTCAATCAATACTGGTTTTCTACCATGACAGTGCAATTTTGAGCATTGTAAACTTGAACAGCATCCAGAAAAAAATCTTCTCATTGTACCTTAAAAAATGAGTCTATGGGGTATTCCGATTCAAACTGAATTCAAAATGAAAAAAAAACACCTCCACTTTTCGGAATCACGAGGGTTTAAGGAGTCCAAAACAAACACCATACGCCCATCATCGAATTAACTGAAGTGATTTTCCTACCATAATAAACTACATATATTGCTTGTGATTCCCAACAATACGAGTGCTAATTAGCCAAAACACTATTTCAACTGAATTCTGAATTCATGTGTGTGTATATCCCCCTATGGGTATGTTGTTTTTGAGCGCGAGGGGNCCCCTAGGCCACTCCCTCCTACCCCATTCGAAAAAACATATCCATAGTGATACATATCAGAGATGCCACCAGGCCGGCCTGCAGGCCAGCAAAACAAATTTTTCTTTAACTGTAACCTCGCCTGATCCGTCCATATAATATTGAACCAGGTTAACAGACTATGCCAGCTCAAAGTTATTGACCTGACTCAAGTCCTTTTTGTATGAAAAATATTGATGATAATTTGTCTTGTTTTATTAAGTTACTATTAAATTGATACAAAAAGACTTGAATTAGGCCAATAACTTTGAGCTGGCATAGTCTGTTAACCTGGTTCAATATTATATGGACGGATCAGGCTAGGCTAGTTTAAAAAAAAAATTTTTTGCTAGCCTGCAGGCCGGGCTGGTGGCATCTCTGATACATATACATATATGAATTCAGATTGAAATCATATGAGTGAACCGCAACGTTTTGGTACAATTCACGCGAACAGATGAAAGTGANACACTAGATAGATTTTTAAAAGCTTCTACGAGTCATGAAGAGGCAGGCACCTCTTTCGTGCGTACTTGAAAACTATGCAGTTTTGTGTCGAAAACTTCAAAAAAAACTTTCCACACTTAATTTTTCAAGATGAATCCAAAAACCACATGAGAAACAATGGTGGATATGATACCAAAAAGTTTTGATTGAGAAATTTCACAGAATGTCCTGTTTGACAATTTCTAATCCAACTAGTTCTTCAGAATCTATTTTCAATATATTTCCTATGAAAATCGGCATCGAATGAGACTCATTTGAGGGAAAAGCTTGTTAACGCAGACCCTTTGGGGCTAAAATATGGAACTCACATATATCCCTTAGGCTTACTAAAGTAATTCAAAATAGCTCATCTGAAAAATCTGCCTAGATTTCCAAAACCTATAATTAGGTCATTGCCTATTTGCTTATGTCTGTAATGGAATATTAATTGTTAGCTCGTATATTTCACAATGCCAAATACTAGTTTCTGTGATCTGTAGTGGTACCCTAAGCTAGTTACTATGGTCTGTAGTGGGCAAGTATTGCTTTTTTCGTGTAGTCTGTAATTAAAAAAGAAAGAAATAGCAGCCTAATTAGTGAAGCTCCTAATTAGCACAGTTTTAAACTTATTAATGTCTGTAATGGGGAGGGGGGGGGGAGCCGCAAAAATCTCGCTTTTAAACTTACACTCACCATTTTCTTCTAAAATATATGTGAGTTCCACAAAATATGTGACCTAAGATTCAAGCTTACCGGTTGTTTTACTATTTTTCTCTACGTTTCTAACAACATCACGAGTTGATTTATTGGTATAGAATTGTTACCGTCGAAGAGAAAAGAAAAATAAGAAAAATAAACTTCAACACAAAAATGTACATTATGGCCACTGATACTCGTCGCTCTTCTAACTTGTGAAAACAATCGCTTCAAGAGAATACAAAAGAAGCCTCTCAGGTATTCATTTGCGATGATTTCTTTCAGAGGCGAGTTAGAATGTTAAGTTTTTTTCAGCTAGGTTTTTTTACGAATTACCTGATTCGAACTCCATTATAAATGAATATTAGATCCAAACAGATAAAAATTAAGATAAGCATTTAGACGCCTGAATTCGCATTGTGAATACGAGACATTCACTCTGATTTAAAGAAGCCAGGAATATAGTTGTTGACCCAAAATTTCACATTCAAAGCGTGTAGACAGAAACAAATTTTTAATATGAAAGCTCAAATTTTACGGAATTCACATATATTTTCGAAGAAAATAATGAGTGTAAATTTAAATAGAGATTTTCTGATTCTCCCCCTCTCTATTACAGACATAAACGAGTTTAAAATTACACCAATCGGGAGCTAGACTAATTAGGCTGTTATTTCCTCAATTTTCTCTTTATAGACTATACGAAAACCACAAGGCCTACGATTACAGACACAAGCAGCACAGAGCAGCTACCATCACAGACCTTAGCAATTCACATTTGCCACCTTTAGTGACACTAGCGAAGAAGCAATCCTCCAGTATAGACAATTGCGAATAGTTTACACCCTATTTATTGATTTTAGACAATAAAGTAGATTTTCACTTGAGCTATCTTGCATTTGCTTAATAAATCGAAGGGATATATCTAAGTTTCACAGTTAAGTCCCAAAGGGGCTGCGCTAACAAGCCTTTTAAGTTCTAGAATAATAGTGTGATTGAATCCTAAAAGTTGACTTTTCACCGCTTTCACGCTCTAAAACTGTAAATTTTGAACTAAAGACCATTTTTCTAGCGTTTTACATGTCATTAGATTGAATAGCCCACAATCGTGGTTTCAATTTGAGTGTTCAAATATGTTAATGCAAATTTTTGCCTGAAGCGGGAGTACTTCAGATGAATTGGAGAGTAAATTTAAAAATATTACCCCAGCATTTTTGTCGGACAGGAATTAAAAATAGGATCGCAATGATAAGTTAAAGAAGATATCGGACTGTCTTGTAAGCACAATAAAAAAGCAGACAAAAATTTAGCTGAATTAGAATTATAACTGTAACTTCTTGAAAGAAACTCTTGAGGTTATGGAGAAAAATCCTTAAAAAATCCCTTTATGTGAGAGTACTCAGAAGGATCTTCAAATTATCCCTCTACGAAAAGGGTGTTCCACGAGGTTTAAGGAAATCCTTTCCGTTTTGGTGGGTGTAGGTGTGAAGGTGCAGATTAATGGACTCATATGCTTACTTACACCCCACACCCACAATCAGGGTCATATTTTTAGCAAGACAAGCTAGTAATATCACGTATCCTACGTATTGACAATATCTCTCACAAGTTATGCTTTTTCTGGGCTATGTATATTTTGAGCAGGATGGTAAAAGGTATATTAGAAGTTGATCAGGAACGGCATACAAGATTGAACAACTTTTATAGAATGCTAATCAAAATGATCTCACCATAAGATATTAAGAACATGACGAGAAACTACTCCGTGGTTATACACTCTAAAAAAATAGGTATTCTACCGAATCATTTTAAGTCTCGCATAAGCTACGTAACCGAAAATGATTCTTCCCGAGTACACGGGCCGAACCCTTGCTACGAAACTATTTTAAGATCCGTGCGTCGAAAAAAGGTTTGGTATCGACAAGACGAAAGTATTCAGATTAGAAACGAAACTGTAATGGTTTCGCGTTAAGCCATAAAGATTCTATCACGAGCCTGGGTGGTTTCATTTTTTAGATGCCGGGCATTATTTCGACGCACGGATTTTAAAATGGTTTCGCAGCAAAGATTCGACTCGTGTACCCAAGGGAAGAACTATTTTAGGTTTCGAAGCTTATGCGAAACTTAAAAGGCTTCGATAGAATACTTATTTTTCGTAGAGAGTATGCTATTTTGGTGAGAAGCAATCAGCTATAACTCTAATCATCCTTCATGACCAGTGGCGTATCCAGAATTTTTGGATGGAGGGGAGGGGCAAATTTTTTCGGGCTACCTTCAATAGCGATGGTACCTATTATTGTGCATATGTATATTTATGGTGAATATATCAGTTTGTTTTCATTAATCTTTATTCACATATAATTATTTCTATGTACAATTAGAAAATAAAAGGAAAATAAAATATACAGTAAACACAGACATGTTAGTTAAAATTATCTGTGAAACATAATCGGCGTTTTGACGGTTGACTATCATTTACCAC